GGAGGAAGGAAGGAAGGAAGATGAGAGAGGAAGGTGGGGGAGGTGGCTGTGAAGGAGGGAGGGTGAGAAGGAGGTTAGGGAAGATGGAAAGAGGAAGACAGCCTGAGCCAGCCACCTGAAGCCTCCTGAAATGCACTTTCAGACCAGGACCTGGTAACCAGCCAGCCGTGGCCCCAGAGGGAGAAGGACCTGCCACCACACAGGGAGGGTCAGAGTGTCGTTAATACCAAGAGCGAACAACCCAAAGCTGGGCTCTACCTGGTCAGTGGCCTGATCCAGTTCCTGGAAGCTGAGACACACATGTGCACACACACACACAGACACAGGCAAAGACGCAGCCCGTGAGCTCACAGAAGCAGCAGCTTGGACAGGCCACTGTGGATCAGGGGGATGAAAACTAACCACAAAGTGTCCCCCCCTCCCCACCCCACAGAAGCGAGAGACAGCTGTGAGGTGCGGCAGGCTGCAGGAGCACATGGATGTTTGCTCAGAACAGAACCCTGAAAGCTTTCGGAAAACTCATAGCAAGACGCACAGCATTGGATGGAGCCACTTTTTTGTTGGGAAGACTCTGTCCTGCCCCAGACTAATGGTGCAAATTTACCAGATACCACAAATCTCAATGCAATGACCTGGTTACGGAAAATCCACCTGTCTCAATACATATACCAGACAACTGATCTTTCAAACACATCCTAGAAAAACTGCTACATACCTCACTGCTGAGTATCACCATGGTCACCAGATGGCCGAGGGCACTGCTTTGAGTGGATAGGATGAGTTCTCAAACTTAATCATCAGAGTTCACACGAGGACAGCTCTGATAGTCATTCCGGGAAAGCAGTCCCAAACGTGGCCATAGTGATATTCAGCAATGAGGCATTCACCACTTTCTCTAGGATGAGTTCGCAAACTTAACTGTCAAACCTGCATGGCTATTCTTGCAGAATAAACATTTCCCTGAAACTGTGCATGGTTTCTTCAAGGGCCGTGACTAGCCACACGCACATCCTTCTCATGAAATCTCCAAGCTCAACAACACGACCGTTAGCTCATCTTTTTTTTTTTTTGAGACAGAGTCTCACTTTGTCCCCCTCGGTAAAGTGCTGTGGTGTCACAGCTCACAGCAACCTCAAACTATTGGGCTCAAGTGATTCTCTTGCCTCAGCCTCCCAAGTAGCTGGGACTACAGGCGCCCACCAAAATGCCCGGCTATTTTTTCTTGCAGTTGTCATTGTTATTTAGCTGGCCCAGGCTGGGTTTGAACCCGCCAGCTTCAGTGTACGTGGCTGGAGCCTTAACCACTGTGTTACAGGTGCTGAGCCAAGTGTTGGCGCATCTGAAAATTGTCATGCCAGAAATCAAACCCATACAGGAACCCTGTTCTGACATCTTTATGCTCCCACGTCCGGAGAAGTAACTAATTAGTTCCATCTCTGCTCATGAAACCATGTAAACAGTTAAATTCATTTCATAATTCAGGTTTAAAAACCAAAATGCGTGTGAGAGTAGTCAGACCAATATTCTTTTAAAAGACTTGGGTCTTTGGTGTTTTTAGAACAACACCAGATTTTTCTTTCTGGGTTAACATTGGGCATTTATATGGCTGGAGACAAAAATCCCTACATATGGAAATCTGAATTGCCAGCCATTTCTGTCTTGATGGCTTCTTCATTTTATTTTAGTTGTTTGGCCTTTTTTTGTATGATGCATTTACACATCAAGATAATGATTGCTTGAATAAGAGAAAGGACACCAACATTTATAGTGGCACCTGTTGTTAATTTGGCGTCAGAAAAATAAGAGCTCGTAAAAAGTATTTTCGATAATACAAGTTGAATCCTAAGCTTCCCAGAGCCAACTTTTCAGAAAGGATGCTTTTAGTTTTTGAAAATAAAAATCTAAGGAAACTCTCGCTGTGAGTGACAGCTTCTATTTTTCATGCCTGCCCACCTCCGGCGATGAATTTAGAAAATGCTTCAACCACAGACCAACATCCAAGGCTCAGGAGAGAAAAGACAGAAAACAATTTGTCCTCTTCCCAATTCTATTTCCAAATTTTTGACCCAGTCAAGTCTGTGGAGAATCTTGGGGGCTCTCCCTAGCTCATTTGTCTTGGGATATTAATATTGAACTTCACCACAAGCTGCCACAGGTTCATAACTCCCATGCACCAGAGGACAGAAACACTTTGCAACCCCAGAATCCAATTCAGATGGATCCAAAGATGTTCAGAAAAATCACTTGGCTGAGAGCATTCGACATTGTCTAGCATTCTGAAAAGAGCCAGAAAGTTTCAAATAAAATATCTAAAATATTATGCATCCTTTCCTGACAAATTTCTCTGCTATGCTCTGAGTTAAACAGTGCTGGGGAAATCAAAAATGGAATGGACAGAGGTGTGTTGTTAGTTTTTATTCCTACTTGGTTCTAACTGTGGATCTTCTATCAGCATCTCCTTGAATGTGGTCATCTCTCCGTTGGGCAGCACTTAAGACTGACCATTTGATTAACCAAAAGCCATTTCCTGAGCATCCACCAGGTCAGAGACACAGAACTGTGCTTGAGAAGTGAGAGGCAACGGGCAGCCAGCCCTGCTCCGTGTGCCGCAAAAGCCCAGCAGTAAACACCAGCAGCCTATTTTAGATCTCTGGAATCAAAAGCTATTTCGGACTCTCAATTTCAAGCTATAAATAAATAACGTTTGCCGATGTCAAATTCTGGAATGATGAAAGATTTACAGTCAACACCACCCTTATGTTCTAATTGAGTCTCCACCAGCATTTAGTTAAATCTTCCGGGAATATCCCCAGAATCTTCAGAAAAGTAACACTTTGGGCGGGTGAGGTCGGGGATCAAGTATGAATAAGGACATAAGGTCACAGGTGGGTGACACATTCACACACCCAGGGAGGCTCCTCCAAGGCCAGGCTCAGTGGGATCCCCATAAACCACGCCAGCTGCTCATGTGAGAGAGGAGGGAAGCCCTGCAGGACACTCCTTAGGGGCATGAGTGTTAGCTGTGTTCAAAAGAGCAGGGCTTACTGGCTTCAAGGCAAATCATAAATAATTTAGGGACCTGTGAGTATCTAGGTCCCCAAGAGCCAGATGGCAGAGCTTCGATATTTGTGGTGATGAGTTTGTTATTCTCCTGATCCCCCTTTCCATGTTATATCCCATCTGAGAACCTTCCTTGGTGCCTAGGCACCTGTGGGAATCCAGTTCTAGCACCCAGGGAACCACATGTGTTGGGCTTTGATTTTAACCCTCCTCCCAAGAAAACAACACAGCGCCCCCTGCTGCGTGGCTGTGTCAGGCTCTCGTCCTTATAAGGAAGTAGACGAAGTAGGTGGCGGAGGTTATAAATGAAGGTGATGGAATCCTTGCAGTTGGGTGCATCTTACACTCTTACACTGTCTGCTGGGAAACTACTCAAGGCTGTCCCCACACAGCAGCCTCTGATCCTCACAGTAATTCTGTGTCTGCACCATCCCTTTCTCAGATTCTAGATGGGACAGCCGAGCTCTGGGGCAGTGAGTCACCTGCCAATGTTTACAGGGCTACATACAAGGCAAAGCAGCGCCAGGATTGAAGCCAGAAGCTCCGACTGCAGAGTCTTAGCAATTTTATGAACCATCAGCCATTGTGCACATGTTTGGAGCCAGCCCGAGTTTTGTTTTTGCCTTTTAAATGAAGCACAGTTTGCACGTGAACAACACCCACAGGAAGAGCCCTTACCATTGTTCTCTTTGAAGCACAGCTTCTTTTTCTGGTAAGCAATGAAGCTGGAAATGGCTCCAGCCACGGCAACCACCACGGCTCCCACGATTCCAGAGATCACGCCGGGGGAGTCGGCTGTGGGAAGAAACACAGGACATGGACACTGAGACACCTGTGGTGTGCAGGAGACGCAGCAGGATAGGTGGTGGACATGCACAGTAGGTGTGAGACCACCAAGGTCGTGGAGAAATATGAGATCCCGTGCCCGCTGTTTTCCGAGGGAGAGGCTTGCAAATCGCACATTCTGAATGAAAAACAATGGAAACCCTCCCATCATGTGCTGGGCTACACAGACACGCAGAGGTAGCAAGTTATCAGAAGCAAAGCAGAAACAAAGAAAGAGGGAGAGAGATGAAAAGACAGGGTGTAAAGTCACCGGGAAGCAGAGAGCCCAGCCTAGAGTTGGGAGATAATAGAGTCCTGTTCCATTGGGGTTTGTCCACCTTTATACCAGCACAGTGCTCTGTACCACTGAGACACTCCCCTGAGGCTGTGGGCTTCGATGCAAATACTTTAAATCTGTCTGTTTTTCTAAAAAGTCATTCCAACAAGCATTCTTATGATGAGATATGAATTTGAGGGATCTGGGAAATTCCCTTTGAACCATCAGAGATCAAAATTGCAAAGGCAAAGACAGGAAGGCTCTCCTTCCATCCCTGATGCCTGCCCCTGGAGTCTCAGAGGACCACAGTGCAGCCCTCGCCTGGCTGAGTTATATGGCTATTCCCCTAGAAGCAGCCTTTGAAAATCACCTTCTCTCTGTGCCAGTCTGCCATAAGCACTTGTGAGGGTTCCAGAGAAGTTCCAGCAGCCCACACCCCACCCAGGGGAAGAAGCAGAAGCCTGGGACAGCTGCCTTAGAGCGAGCCTGCTCCCAAACTCACCATGCTTCCTCCTAGATTAAGGTGACCAGATTTTAACATTGGTAAAGCGGGACACCATTGACGGGGGATGGGGGTTCTCAATTTAAAATTTGGTCTATATGGAGCAACAAAAATTTTCATAGAATGCAAAAATAGTATTGTAATATATATATTTTTAATTTCAACATAAGTACAATTTACAAATATAATACATTAAAAAAAATTATGTATAGGGCAGCGCCTGTGGCTTAAAGGAGTAGGGCACGGTCCACCTGGACAACCTTGCCCAGGAGGGGAGTAGGGAGTTTACATTAGCCTTTTCATTTCCAAATGAAGTTACATTAACCTCTTCATTCCCAAATGGAGTTGCATTAACCTTTTCAGCTGAAAACCATATATTCCCTTCCCATTGTCATCCGTCAGTCCCCCCTCCCCCTTCGGTCCCTAGCTTGTCGTGCATTCTTTCTAAAAATCAGGATTGTTTTAAAACACCGTGGCGGGACATGGGACAAATAGTTAAAAATCGGGACTGTCCCGCCAAAAGTGAGATGTCTGGTCACTTTATCCTAGATAGGCTCAAAGCCTCACGCATGATAAGAAAGCCCAACCTCATGGCATTCCTGGAAGCAAACCCCAGAAGTCACACCCACAAAGGAAACCAGTTTTACCAGTGGGAACATCTCCAAACTGATCACTGGTTTCCAGTGAGATAACAGATTCAGTTCTTTCCCATCCTGGGCACCAACGCAGGAGTCCTTATCTCCAAAAGGCCCACCTGGTGAACAGGCAGCCTTGGGCTCTCTCCCTCCCCCTTATGGGATTGCTCTCCTGTGGACTCATGGCTTACAAGGGTCCAGGGAATGAAAGTGTTTCTATGAAAGGCAGCTGCTTTCTCTACACCCATTCTAAAGTGAATTATTAAACACCAGCTCTATATTAGAAGGCCCCCAACGATGGCCTGACATCAACATGCCATTTTCTTACTATCTTTCCTGTTAAATTGTAATAACCAAGCCCCCAGCCTTTGACCCCCTCCCTAAGACCAGTAGGGAACAAGCCCCCTACCCTAGAAAAAGAAACCTCTCCTAAGGGTAGAGAAACAGCCTGAAATTGAGGAAGGATGCAGGGAGGGGTTCAGGAAAGGAGGGTTGGATTCCAAATAAAGCCCCGGATAAAGAGGTCCCAAGTTGGCTCGGCGCCTATAGCTCAACCGGCTAAGGTGCTAGCCACGTACACCTAAGGTGGCGGGTTCGAATCCCCAGCCCTGACC